TTGAGCCCAGGAGTTGGAGGTTGCTGTGAGTGAGGCTGACGCCACGGCACTCTAGCCTGGACAACAGAGCGAGACTCTGTCTCAAAAAAAAAAAAATGGAAATGGAGGCCAGGATGGAAGGATCGCTGGAGGCTAGGACTTCAAGATCAACCTGGGCAACACAGCGAGACCCCACTTCTACAGAAAATGAGAGAAATTAGCCAGGCATGGTGGCACATGCCTGTTAGTCCCAGCTACTCGGGAGGCTGAGGCAGGAGGATCGCTGGAGCTCAGGAGTTGGAGGTTGCTGTGAACGAGGCTGACGCCACGGCACTCTAGCCCGGGCAACAGAGCCAGACTCTGTCTCAAAAAAAAAGAGGTTTGTGTCAAGCTGAACATACATGACCTATCCAGCCCCGAAAAGAAATGAAGAAACCTAAATACCGGAAAAAGTTGTGAGGCCCCAACGCGAAGCCTCATGCTCCCACCCGAACATCCGCTCTGCCCTCCTCCTCCCCGCGCTACGCCCTCTCCAACGCGGCCACCCCTCCACCAAGCAGCCCCGCGCGGCAGACCCCAAGCACGACCCCCCACGGCGCCCCGCGGCCATCCCCCCCTCCCGGGCTCGTGACGCCCCGCGGGGGGCCACGCCCTGCCCGCTTTCCCGCGACTGGACCGGCGTCCACGCAGCCTGGCACGGACGGAATCCACTCCCAGCTTCGGTTCTCAGCCGGACCCGCGGAATCGAACCCTGTTTCTCGGGCGTGGGGTCAGGGTCCTGCGGGGACCCCCGGATCGCCCCAAGTGACCGAGCACGTGGATAAATGACGGGGTCCCGGCAGAATCGCGCAACTTTGTGTTACCTGCCGCCTGTCCTGCATAACGATAGCGCTACCTGCTTACTGGCATTCGCGAGGCACAGGGCTGCTGTGTACACACAGACGGAGAAGCCCACCTGGGGCCTTCTCTGCAGCCGTCCCTCTGCCTGGGGCTCCCCTCACCTGCCTGTCCCTCCCACCTGTTCCCAGATCCCTCCTGCCCTGCCTACTCTGTCCCTCGTCCTGCCTCCCGAATTTCCTACCCGTTATCTGTCCCCTTGGCCAGCAGGGACGCTGCTCCGTGCACGGATGTGTGCGCCGACCACGTCCCAGCTCCACCGGCCGGGAGGGCCACAAATGCCACCCCGGATGCGCTAAGGACACCGAGATTCCAGCCGAGGCAGTCGGCACCTCCCCACACCCTCAACCACCCAGGCTGCGCCGAAGGCCACGCTCGTCCCCAGGGTGTCGACTCCAGGCCGCTGGGGACCACAGAGCCCACACAGGAAGCACCTGCTGAACGCACACACCGGCCTCTCCGCCGAGCCTTAGGGTCTTCGGGCGCCTGACCTGCTCACGCTCTCCGGACGCCGGACGTGTCGGCCGCCCGTTCAACTACACGAAGCCCACCCGGACCCACGTCCAGCCTGGGGGGCCGCGGTCTGCGATCGCCGGCCGACACCCGTTCTGAGGACGCCCGGTGCCTGTCTGCAGGGCCCGTGGGACGGCTTGAAGGGACACCACGGAGGAAGCCCGGCGTGGCCACCGCTCCCACGACGGGCAGCAGAAGACAGAGCGTGGGCACCTCTCGGGCTGGCGCAGCCCCCAGAGACCCGCCTCCCTCCCTGGCCCGGCGGCCCGGCTCCAGGAAGCGGTGCACAGAGCTGACCCTGCACCCGAACTCCCGACCCCAGGGGGCTGGGCGAGGGGTGCACAGCCTCGGAAGGGGGGAGGCGGGAGAGGGGTCAACGGTGCGTGTCCTGGGGGCCGGCGCTGGGCTGAGACCCCATCGGCCCCAACCCCCACCCTCTGACCTCCGCCCCCACCGACCCCAGCTCTCCTCCCCGACCCCTGCCCACCTTGAGAAACTTGTACAGCAGGAAGGTGAACCAGTTGGTCAGCATCTTCTCCGCCACCGACTCCGTCCTGGGGGCGCAGACGAGAGTGGGGTCACCGCCGCTGTCCGGCAGGCACAAGGCCCCGTGAACGTCACCCACCACAACCTCCGCCCCGAAGGTCAGGCCTTGACAGACATCGGGGGCTCTGGGAGCTGCCACGGGGACCCCCACCCTGCCGCTGAGCACCAAGACTCGGGCCTGGCACCAGGGGCCGCGCCAGCGCCCAGATTTGCTGGTCCTCACCGTCCACACCTGGTGACCAGGAAGCTGAGACTCAGAGGACCTAGGGATGCCCCCCACCCCCACCCAGCTGGACCAGCATAGCGGGGCTCCAGGTCCTGCAGGCCCCGCCCCCAGCCACACCCCCCACACCCATTG